GGATGACTAACGGTCGGGCAAACAAACACATAAAGTGACTCCTTGAATTCGAGCTGGGTAGTCACAAGAATGGTTGCGGCCGCCGCAGCAAAGGCCAGTCAGACAATATGCAGAGCAGCTGCATGCATGTGCAGCTACTTGTGACAGCTGCCCACGTTGCGAATGCAACTGTAAGGCAGTTCGCGCACAGGCGCGCAAGCCGGAGGCAGATTGGCAGTACAATGCAGCGATGTGTGGTGTCTTGTGTCGTCTCTGAGGATTATTGAAGTTGTCGCATTGTTGTCACTGGCAGTGGTGGTGGTGGTGGTGGTGGCGACGGTGGTGGAGGTGGTGGTGGTGGGAGTAGTGGTAGTAGTGGTGGTAGTAGTAGCAGTTGCAACTCTTCTTCTTCTCAACAGTAGTCCTGTACTGGTAGCAGCATGGTAGCGGTAGTAGGGGGATTGGGACGAGGAATAGAAGTAGTTGCAGAAGTTTGTGATTTTACCTTCGGGAATCTTTGCGGTTGTATTGGTCATCATGGTGCTGCTGATATTCTTGGTGACCTTGTCAATGATGGGGGATTGTGTTACGTTTAGCAAGTGACTAGTAGTTGAAGTGGCGGTGGCGACTGCTGCAACTACTGCTGCTGCTACTACTACTGATGCGATCAAGAAGAGTGACCACAGTAGTCGTCAGTATCAGGACGGCAACATCAATGTCATTTATCGTCATCGCTAACACAACTCCATTAGTAATGAAGAAAATTTCGAGTACTTGTCCGGCCTTGGCCTGTGGTTCATGGCAGCTGATGGCCAGATTCTGTATAGAACAGCACTGTTGCAACACTGTCCAAACTGTCTGTCTCGGCTCTTACTCCCAGTGACACTCCATGAAGCATGGAGTGTGTGCGTGTGTGCGTGTGCGCGCAGCTTCCATGATGACTGCGGTAGGACGAAAGTTTGACCCACTCCTTATTTCGTCGAAGACAGGCCCGCATTCCCCCACAGAATCCTCGCAATCAGGACCCACCGGCTACTTCTCCGGAAAATTAAACTAGTCTAATTTCAAAACGGGGTATAAAATACTCCGCTGGGCCACACCACGTAAATCGCACTTTCTCCGCTATTCCGTATGATGTCTTGAGACAAGAAAGGCCCAGCAGGTCAAAACTTTCGTTTTTTTGATGTGCGCGCGGTAGAACATATGACATACACATGCATGCGAGCTCTTATATGTTATATGTTTATATGCATGCATGTGATATGCATCTTTACACGTACATATTATAATATAATATACTATATGCTGTCGTATTATATCAAACTCAGGAAGTGTCACATCTGATAAGATTTTGCTGCTGGACGGGGTCTGGGGAGTAATTGGTGTATGTACGTGTGTGTGTATATATATATATACCGTATATACACTACTACTACCAGCGCTACTACTACTACTGCTACTGCTACTGCTACTGCTACCTCTACTGCTACTGCTACTGCTACTGCTCCTGCTCCTGCTCCTGCTCCTGCTCCTGCTCCTGCTGCTGCTACTGCTACTACTACTACTACTGCTACTACTACTACTACTACTACTACTACTACAACTACTACTACTCCTACTCCTACTCCTACTCCTACTGCTACTGCTACTGCTACTGCCACTGCTACTGCTACTACTACTGCTGTTACTGCTACTACCGCTCTACCGCTACTACCGCTACTATTGCTGCTACTGCTTCTATTGCTACGACTGCTACTACTACCACTGTTGCTACTGGGGTTGAGGTTTGGTGACCCAAGAAGCTTGCGAGGTGAGGGTTAGGTGTTCAGTTGGTGGTTTCCATTCATTCAAGGTTACATAAGGTTTCAACTTTCCGGGTTTAGGAGCTAAGACAAACGGAGCTTTGGACAGATCGAGCTGCCAGCTGTGATCTTATCTGTTCGAAGTGGAACGGAAGCATCAGCGCATGCGCAGGACACGGTCATCGTTAACTGCCATTGCAGCTGATGTGTTTGCAGAACATCTGTGACCACATGGGCGGGTGGTCCATGCCATGGAGGAAAGAGATGGCAGTAGTCGGGGTCGACGGAGAGGTTTGTTTCAGTGGGCCTCGTGATCTTCGTGCGACGGACAGAACCGTGCTTCCTGCTAAAGAGATTGGTGTGAATGAGTATGACCAGGTACCAGTCGTGATTCTTCCAGATTTCGTTGGAAGCAAGCATTGTTTATCTTCGATGACGTAGGCTATGCTGGGCACAATGGCATTATCCTGCTGAGCAGGGCTTGAGAAATCCAAGGATAAAGTCTTTCCTCGGTGGTGGACCGTGATGCACGTGGCAGCTGGAATAAAATTGACAAGTTCTGCCTGGGATCGTGGGATAGGCTGAGATGCGCAAAGCCATACGGTCCAGTAGTTACGGAATGACTTTTTGGCCATCCGTTGCGACAGCAGGAAATAGGAGAAAGAATAACTATACAGTCTTGAGTGGTGGCTTAGTAGTTGTGTGGGGCTTCGACCTGTCAGTCGTTTGCGCGGCAGACCAACTTTGCACAATAATTGGTATAATGCGCATCCTGGAGTTTTGGTTGATGAAGAGGTGCGACTCATGTATGCGAACCGCGTGTACATAGAAAAGCAGATCAGCCTGACCTGGCATGACTTGAAGTTGCGCTGCACCGCTGACCTTTCTCCGCCCAAGCAAAAGCCCTCTGACCAGAGAGGATTGGGACGACTGCCCGATCCAACAACGGGGAGGTCGTGTCATCTGGTCGCCTTATCGGCCCTAGTCAGTCCTGGTCTACTTCCCAGCGAAACCAGCGACTCGGGGCAAACTAGAAATCCAGAATCTTCGGCCATGAGCTTTGTGGGAATCTATGATCTTGTCACGGATGTTTGACGGGTTGTCAATTCAACTTGCCGGGCGGTCACAACGTCCTGCAACCTGTGTCCAAACCCACGAACTCTGGTTAGCGCAATGGCGGAGCCAACGGCAGGTGCTGCGCGCCGGAGCGCAAAACGTCTGGGTCTCAAGTGTACCGGCTACATTTGGGCTTGATGCTTGGTGCTTTGGGCAGCAGGGCAGAACTTGGCTATCGTCACTGCTTTGATCTTTCATGGTTGCGTCCGAAACTGCTAGTATTGATGACTAGTTACTTCGTCATAGTTTGAAAGTTTGGAAATTGAAAACCAGAAATCCGTACGACGGGGCTGTCCTTGCTGGATCAACAGCTGGTAGACTGGGAGCTTGGACTGATGGATTTCTTTGCACGCCCGGAGTCCCACGAATAGGCCCATGCATTCTTCGAACAGTGGGTACTGCAAGGCGGCATTGCACTACCAAAGGAAGCCGAGTGCGGTAATGCCGTTGCGATCAGTGCACGTCTGTAGTATGACGCAGTCTTTCTGAGTCGTTCTTGTTGCCCTCAACGGTCTGCGAGAATCTGCTGAACTCAGACCAAGGTCAGAAGCTGATGTCCTTACTGGAGGTCTGTGGCCTGGACAAGGCCGGTTTCGATTGAAGCTCTCGCACCGCGTATCCGGCGATTCCCGTGGCGAGGCCTTCTTTTGTTGTTAGAAGCTGTAGAATGGCATCTCGAAGAAGCCGGATGAAACCGCCTCTCTCGGCATTTCATGCAGGCGAGAAGTACAGACCGCAGAATCACTTGACGAGTAGTGGTAGAGGTGCATGCTCATACATGCATTGGTTAGTTACTGTGATATAGCTACATATATATATATACGCATATCATATAAGCTGCTGTACACATACATAGGTATGCCTCCATACATGTATGATATACATACACCCATGGAGCCGCATAAACATCTGCAGACATGTTCCAGGAAGCAAATCGCCTTCAAACCCTCTCGGGGTCCGCTGCACTGGCCGCACCGCAGTGCCAGGTCGGCTCTGAAAGGGTGAACTGTTGGACAGATCTTGCTGAGAGTTTCATTCCACATCGTCTCACGCCAGTTGAGCCAATCTCATCGTTTCCCCTTATCTTGTTTAGCCTCTTCATATCCTCGCCGTGCTGCGCTGCACTTCTTGGGTCTTGTTGCACAAGGTTGTGCTGTCATGCCATGTGTTGCTGATGCAAGCTGTGTCTGACATATTCCGCGCGGATTCCCATGCGGTAGCTACACCCTGTTCAGATGTTCTTTGGCACTGCTGGGTTCCGTCCTGTTCTGCTGCACTGTCTCCGTCAGCGATTCGGTGTCACGCTAGCTCTAGCTTTTCATGTTTGATGATGTTGTGCAGTATTTCGCTGTAGTGCCGCTGCGGCGTGGTGCAATGCACGAAGCCATTACTGCCCAGCGTCAAAGAAGGATACGGGCGCCGAGATAATGCTATTGATTTTTGTAAAGGGTTTGAGTGATAATGGTATGGTTGTTTTACAGTCCACCTTAGGCCTGGCATACACAACTTCAGAACACATACTTCCAGATGTACTGTACATCCTGCTAGATATGACATGGTCTCGAAGCCGTGTATGTTAAGCAAGTGTGGCTCAGGTGTGAGATGAACAAACGGGTGCCACAGAGTAGCTTTAATGCACGGGCTGCACAGGTATGTCCGATGATAGAAGACAGCACCGCAGATTTCTGTCCCGTCGAACAGGTGGATCTAAGCCCTTGCTACAAGTGCCTTAAAGCAAAATCCCAGTGCTTCGACAAGCCGCGACAATCCGGGCAACAGAAGAGTATCAGAGATATGGGTCGCCTCAAAGAGGTCATTGACATGAACTTAGGAGCAAGCCCAGTGTGCTTTTTCTTTTTGGGGTTGTCCCTTCAGCCGCAAGAGCCACACTCCCGGAACCAGTGGCCAGGCATTGTGTCTCCAGCTTGTGAGGCGCAGAGATTATGCAACGGGTCTTTAGTTCTGGCGCATTATTGTCTGCCCTCCTAGTTTGCTGTCTTGCGATGTTTCTCGGAGTTTCTGGCCGCCTGCGTAGTTCTGTTCACGAAGCCAGCACTGAACCTGCACCCCCAAGCCCCAAGAAGCCTCAAGCTGAAGCAAGAGGCAGGTGGAGCTGCAGCGGGAGCTAGCCGAGCTGCAGACTACAGAGGCAACCCGTCCGGCCTTCGTGACTATCCGAGATGCCACGAACATATTGGGCCTCTTCGATGACAATCAGCTGAAGTTCGCACTCTGGCGTTAGAGGATTTGTCGTGGTGGTCGTGGGCAGGACCGACAGGCCGCAGAGCTCAAGAGCCTGCACACGAAGAGCTTGGAAATGGAGGTCCATTTGCTTTTCGGGGGGTTCGGATTGGCCACCAGGCAGGTTTGGAGTGAATGCCGTTACTTGTGATGCCCAAGACTAGATGACCCACACTGTGTCACTTTGACAGTCACTTTGACTGATGAAGAGCATTCCCGACATGGCACGACTGCATGCGGAACCTGCGGCTTGAACTGCAACTTGCAGATTCGGGGCCTACTGTACTCGTCCTGTGTGGTTCTGGCGGCAGTGGCACTGACGATGCTGGAGACGTAGGGCGTGTTTCACATGGTTGAAGGTCCAAGATGAAGATCGTGAGGATGGGGATGAGGATCAGGATGAGGACGAGGGTGATGCGGATGATGATGATGATGACGATGATGACGATGGTGATGATGGTCGTGGTGGTGGTGGTGGTTCTGATGCTGAAAACCGCCATCATGATATTGGGGGAGAGTTGCTTCTATTCATTAGGTGCCTGCCCTCTGCTGCAGGCCAAAATCGAAGCGAAGCGACTCCTGCTCGAAACACGAAGCGTGCTGGAGCGCCTGGGGTTCAGCATCATGGTCGGCCTGGCCTAGCCTAGGGCCGACCGTGCCCCAAGCAAAAGGCACACAAAAAATTCTTGCATTCGCCAGCGCGGATGGGGATTGTGCTCGGAGCAGTGTGATGGAGCGGAGCTAGGTTTGGTGCTGCTGTGACACAGTATTCCCAGCCCTCACTGCCGCGGCACGCAGTACGCGCCCGCTTCGATTCTATGCCCAAGTTCCCACCTGTAAGCACCTTCGAAGCCTTTCCAAACCGCAGGATGCCTGGGATGCTGAGCATTCGGGAACTCGTGGCCGCGAATAGATCAAAAGTGGCGGATAGTGGTGACTTTGGGGATGGCATTCAATGTGCCTCGAGCTTCGTTCGGCCTTGGTTGCTCTCCTGACCCTATGGCATGCTACCACATGTGCTCGGTTCTAAGATGAGACATCATGCTAGCCTTTGGTGTGGTGTGTGCGTGTGTGTGTGTGTGTTTGTGTGTGTGCTGTCTCTGCCTGTTTGTGTCTGTTTGTCTGTGTGTGTGCGTGTTCAGGGCCACCCTGCTAGCTGTTGAGACTTTAAGCCCACTGGTCTGCACCACACATGCTTTGCTGAAAATCCGTGCTGCTCTGAAAGGAATCGCTTGGCAATGGCAGACACAGTAACTCAGTAACTTAACAGCCTTGGCCAGCAGGTGGAGATGTTCGCCGCGTTAAGATGCAATCCAGTTGCATGCGACTAGCCTTGATGAGTCTTGATGAGTTGTTGCACAGGGTTCCTGCGAGAGATGAAGTCCAGCTGATCTGGCCGCTGGCCATAGCGTGTACATTTCGCTTTCCTCTTGACGTATGGTTGAGCCATGGATGGAGCGAGCGAGATAGGAGCGGTCTGCCGAGCCTGCAATGCCTGATGATCCTCTGATGCTGGAGTGTAGGGTCAAGGCATTCTCGGTGCATCATGCGATTCCGATGCAAGGCTAAACTCAGAATCAGGAGTAGCATAAAGTAAAAAAGGACGTCGTTTATATCTGAGAGGACTTGCGGCTGCATCTGCAGCGGCATCCAAGTTAGCCAGCAAAGGTGGCCTGGGATGCAGAAGTTTGCAGACCATGCTGAGGGTTTGTTTGCCCCCTACTGTTCCCGCCATCGTACTTGCTGCTCGTTTACCATGTCAGTTGCTGTTCTTAGTTCTCCAGTGATACAATGTTACGAAGGAGACACGTCTTGAACCCTCCATGTCTGAGGCTTCAATCCCCGCATCGTCAGGCAACAACAATTGCATCGGCAACAGCAGCGACAATAACAGCCGAACTAATCAAACAGTCAAAGCTAGCCACGAACAGCAAGAGTACTGTGCTTACGATACTGAGCACCTGCAAGGCCGTGCTCAGGTCGTGGAGGATCCACAGGAGAAGGCCAGGCATCTCTCCAGGGATGTGCTTTCGCATTAGAGGCCCCTCCAATCGGTCGCAGAGCTGTTTTCGCGTGATCGGACAGGAGGCGCGGCAAGCGCAAGACTGGAACGCAGAGGCTCGGCCCGAGCGGCTTCTCTGATCGGTCGTGCAGTGCCGTGGAGTGCCACCACAAAGGTGCGTAAACGATGGCGACAGAATTTCGCACGGCAGCATGAGCCGCTGTGTCACGGCAGCATGCAGATCTTTTGTGGTTGGGGGAAGAAAGGGTTTGACGGGCTCCGACGACGATGTGCCAGCCAGCAAATTTGTGAGGATTTTCAGGTCGGATGCCATCGATTGCATGCGTTCAGTGCGAGACTTATGGGCAGCAGTCATTCCAGCTTCATGTCTGACGGGTTTCTGGTCTATGAACTTTCCTCGGCATTACAAATCGCCTCGCCGCTGCTCACAGTGATCATTGCAGTACTTAGAGATGAGCACGGCTGAGGAACCAACCTCAGGGCCAGAATCCTGGCGACGTCTCCTTCACGAGGCTCGAGCCGGAAGGTCCTGGAAGGCCCTGAGTCCTCCCGGTCCGCGTTCACCAGGTGGCTGTGCCCCACAAGCCGCATCCACGACCGACAAGCCTTCCACGGCATAAGGCTGGACCTGTCGGATCTTGTTGCCAGGATCCTCGCAACCTCTGCAAATCTGGACAAGTCTAATCGGCAGCTTAGACTAGCGAATGCTGGCTACTGGTACCAGCTCAAGTGCCATGCACCAACTTGCCTTATTTCCTACAGCCACTTCAGGAATGCCCGCATGCAGGAGGCCCGCGGGACTGGGATGTGTTTGGACACAAGCCGACCTGATGCTCCGAGCTGAAGACCCCTGAGAGCCCTCCTCGTTCCAGCTGAAGCAGGTTTGGGCGGTGGAGGCGCGGCAGCGCTGGCACGAGAAGCATCCGAAGCCAACGCCCTCGCCTTGCTTGCTTCAGTTGTCGGTGCCTAGGTGAGCTTGGGGATGAGTCCCATTCGAGTGCCGCAGTGGGAACCGGTGCCATTCGATCGGGGCAGCAGATCCAAACGAACATGCCGCGAGTCGCAGCCTAGGTGGAGAGAGAAAGCTGTTGACTTGTCGCTGCCCTCCTGATCTGGTCTTTTTCTGCGCCTGTCCTTGTGATCCGGGATTTCAGGGAGACGATATGATTCCCCATTCAGGCTGCTGAAGACCCTGACCCCTCTTGTGCTCTGCAACTGCCCTGCAGTCCCTGAGGGACTCCTGCGGCGCAGGCTGCATTGCAGTGACACCGCAGAGGCATTCCCGAGTCTAATCACATGCGTGAAGATTTTCTGAATTTGCTTCGGCAAGCCATGCTTGGGAATGTCTCTGCCTTCATTTTACATGCTTTGCAGCGCGCGTGTGTAGCACACCATTCGGTCCTCTGCAAAATTCACTGCTGCAAGTAGAGTGTTGAGAGAGGCGGCCAGCCACCAAGCCACCACCTGCATGCTCAACCCCCGCCCATTAAAGTAGCCCCATCATCCGCCCACTGTTCGAACCGGCGGCACGCAAGTAGCCAGAGGAAATCAAAAAAGCTGTGCCTGGCCTTAGTCTTACGAAGCTTCTGGCCAAGAAGCGAGATCCCATTGAACGTGTAGCAGAAAGAAGGCGCGGCCTCTGACATGCCTTTGACCACCTAAGGTGTCGCGCTACAGATGGCCGTGAAAATGGTGCATGTTCCGGGACAGGGGTTGTTCACACTGTGTAAGCGCGTCTGATGCTTAGTTGAACAAATTACGGCCTGCACCGGAATTAGCGGGAAAGCTTTGCTCTCAAGTCAACGTGTTCGGATCCGAGTCATGCAGGGCCGAAAGCACTCGGTGCCGGCAGAATTGGCTCTCAGGGACAGCACGGAATGCGCCGCGCACTCCAACTCATGGCAAAGCCTGCGCCCCGAACGGGTGTTCGATGTGATCCGAATCCTCTCTCATGGCAGGGCTTAAGTGTGAGGAAAGGGAGTGCAGAGTGTGCAATGTATCTTGCGTGATCTTGTGTCTGCATGCACCTTACTCTCCGTCGAAAGTCCTCGCCGGAGGCAGTTCGACTACGTCGTCGTTGGTCTGGGCCTGAGAGGTACAAAAGCAGTCTCAAACTGAAGTGTCCTCTGGTTTTGTCGTGCAGCTCTGCTGCATCGCGTCAAGGCAGGCAAGATAATTACGCTCAGTAGAAGTCGATGTGTTGAAGAGCCTTCCATGTGCATGTGATTATGCACAGTCCCGAGCCTGCCCTTCCCATGTTGTGATGCTCGGGGTTTGAGGTGGTGGCAATGCTGCGGGATATGCGTGCCGCGAGCGTCTCGTCCATATTGTTGGTTGGGGCTTGGTGAGGTTGCATTACGTTGTACTGTAAGGATGGATCTTCGTGTTCGGAATTGAGGTGCAGGCCATCTGAAATGTTCAACCGCGCTGTCGGGTCAATCGGTGGCGTGGAGAAGCGAGCGATTCAGTTTCGGAATGCCATGGAATGCCCCTTCTGAAGAGTACCCTATTCCAGTTCTTTGGACTCAGCTGCAGCGTTAACTGACCTGCCATGACACTCAGCATTACTGTGGTGCAGCTCTCCGACGCGCTTGCGATGTGTATCCTAAACGTGTCGGGCCACATAAGCAGGCTTTCCAAAGAAGTTTCCATGGCGCTATGGCGTTCTCGTGGATGGGAGCAGCAAACAGCGAAGCTAATCGGAGCCTCGAACCAAGCTCCCGGCCCGGTACTTGAAGGGAGTCATACTGTGGCGACGAAGGCTATAGCATCCATTGATCAATTCTCCTGGCTAAGATTCTTCCATAGTCTTCCGGTGCTCAGCCCCGAGCGGGAATCTGCGTTCTGAGGTTTGCGGCGCAGGGCGTTGCTGCCAGCAAGGTTGCTGTGGCATCTTGGCTTTGGTTGAGCCTGTTCAGGGTTCGGGTTACGGCATTTGGGCCTGGGGCAGACCATGACACAACGGTTTGTAGTTGCTTGGACTGGACGGGTATGCGACCACACCCTTTACATGCTGCGTTATGAAGGATGGGCTAGGTCATCGTATGCAGTGCTTTCCAGCACTGTAGGATGCGATGCCACATCCTGTGTAGTAGCATGAAGGTCACCGCTTTACAATGAATAGCTTCTGCCAGATGATGTAATCCGACACGTGGAGCTTTATGGTTTGGACGTGTGGCAAAGCGGCAGGGACCGTTGCTCTTAGGGCTTCAGGACTGCCTCGGAATCGGTTGTGTTGCTGGAATACAGTAAAATTATTTACGCGCGGCCCGCGGCCACACGGCCACGCGGGTTTGGGGTTTCGCAGCCACTCACCCTTTTCGGGTTCAGGGTTTCGCACCCACCCACTCCTGGTACAGGGTTCACGGTTTCGCACCCGCCCATTCTTTTTTATTTCTTTTTACGGTATGAGGGTTTCGTAGCCACTCACTCCCGTTGACGTTCATGGCTTCACACCCACCCAGTCCTTTTTGGGTTGCAGGGTTTCGCGCCCACCCGCTCCTTGTATGGTTTGGGCTTTCGCACCCACCCACTCCTTTTATGGCTTAGGGTTTCGCACCCACCCACTCCTTTTAGGGTATGGGGTTTCGCCCTCACTCACTCCTTTCCCTTTACGGTATGAGCACTCCTTTTAGGGTTTGGGGTTTTGCACCCACTCCCTTTAGGGTTTGGGGTTTCGCACGCACCCATAGACCCCAAATCGTACCTACTCACTCCTTTTAAGGTTCAGGGTTTCGTAGGGTTTTGTCCACTGACATGTTTTCGGGTTCAAGGTTTCGCACCCACCCATGCACTCCTTTTAGGATTTGGAGTTTCGCAGCCATCCACTCCTTGTAGGGTTCAGGGTTTCGCACTGCTTTTGGGGTTTTGGGTCTGCGGCCCCCGGCGGCCCCTGCGGCCTGCGGCTTGCGGCCACATTTCTCAATGAACACTAAACTCAACAACAGCAACAAGAATCAATGCATTCACCTGTCCTGAAGCGTTAAAGGTTTCACGAAGCCATGTAGATCTTTTCTGCGACCCTGCAAGCCTAAATCCTGAAAGTAAGAAACCCGATTCCGGTGCTTGGAGATGCAAAGGTGACGGCAGAGCCCGTCCCGCCGTACGAGCGACCAGCTCTCACGAAAGCGCACCTTTGCATAATATAGTTGAGTTAGGTAAGTATAACATGCTTAGCCAGCAGGTCATAAGAAGCTGCGGCATATAATCGTGCGAGTCAGAAAGAGCGTAACTTCAGAGCACGCACAATACATTGCGGAAAATAAATAGAGCCAAGCCACGCTAGACTTCGTTAGAGAGGCTTACCGTTTCAGTTGGATTTCGGGTTGGACATCTTTTGCTTCGCTCCGGTCCCTTCCAGTCATCGGGGTTGTCAGCTAGAGGTTCAGCACTACAGAACCGTACGCCCCTCGTAACTCGTACCAAAGCATATACATGAGCCAACTCCTCGATCAGAAAGCCACGGAGTGCTGTATGTTGCTCATGTAACATCGCAACCGTCAGGCAGCAACGTGTTCTTGCAAAGCACTTGTTACCCTGAAAACGAGCACCCATTAGCGCGATGTCGACGGGAAATGGAGAACTTGTGTCGGCAGGGTTGTCTAGTGAAGCGCTTGCATAGAGACAAAGAGGCACTGACGCAGAAAACCTACTTGGCCGTCTGCTCACACCAAGCCGCTTGATACAGAGTCTCTTTGGCTCAGGTATCTCCATCCACCCTCAGCCAAGGCCGAAGCCTTCACGGAATCAGGTAAAGCAGGGAGAAGAGCCTCCGCTAGGCATAGTTCTCAATTGTTCAATATTGTTATACTGCTACTGAATGGAAATTTAGATGGGGTTATTCTCTGCCTGCTTGTACCATCCAGCCTAATACAGACTCCAACAGCTACCTTCTCATGCCAGCCTTCTCCAACAGAACTACAACCACTGCCGTTCGACACAGCTCAGACAACTGCTTCTGCTGATGTCACTGCTGCTACTGCAGCCACGACCAGACTTCCACCATTTTGACAGTTGCTTTTACTACCCGTACTGGTCTGTACTAATTCCACTGCTGCTCACGATCACTTACCATTATTTCTGCTACTATTTAATTTACTAACGACAGTGCCAACAGCAATTACGTATCATTTCATTGTTGCTGCCATCACTGCCTTTCGCTGCTGTTGCTACTGCGAGAGCGAGAGCGACAGCGTGTAGCGGCTATTGGGCTACTCTTCCTGCAGCTACTACAGCTGCTGTCAGTCCTCATTCTACTTCGGCGGCCACAGCTGCCATAGTGACTAAGACTACAACCACCGCTCCCATTACCGTTGTCATGTCAGCTTTGATTCCCGCAAGAGGAGCAGTCTGAGCACTTTGTTCGCTGAGTTCCTAAGCTACTACTGTTGCAGTCGTTAGTAGTAAGTTACCATGTTCACGATCACTCACATTACTCGCGTTTATGCCTATCCCTGACAATCCAAAGCGGCTTCAGCTCGAACCCAGGTGCGGGCGAGACTGCCAGGATTTCACACGTGCGTGGGAGGCCCTCGTAAGTACGATGCCATTGTCGGGGTTATCGGGTTTTACGGCCCGTGGTTGTGGCCTAGTGGGGCCTCGTTCCATGGTCCGATGTGAAAGCTTTCGAAGGTCACGTTCGTACGTCGGGCGGAAAGTCCCGCAGGCTGACAAAGCCCAGCGTGCGTATGCGGTCATGTGACTTGAGGCCTTGCCGGGACTGGCAACCGTGTTGGTAGGACAGCTTTCAGCTCCGGAGCCGGGTGTCCTCTGCACAAGAAAAATATCGAGCAACACTGGCCGTGAGCTTGAGGGCTCAGGCGACCAGAATCCCCACAAGAAGGCCGCAAACGGAACTTGACTTGATCTCGTTTCGCAGGTGGAGGCGATCGCCAGACGGCGGAATGGTACACTGAGAAAGGCGCTCGGTCGCAAATCGCTGCTGCTAAGAAGCAGCGCCAACCCCTTCCTCCACTTGTTGTGCTTCAAACCTTGTACTGTGTGGACCACGGTTGTTTCAAGATCCATCCCTTGACCTGTGATGGCGAGGCATCTCGCTGATTCACGGCAAAGCCACAGCCGTGGACCTCGCAAGCAAGGCTCCCGCAGCTG